CGCGAGAATTGATTTCTCAGGAAGAGAAGTTTATAATCCTATGTGGCGAAAAACGAACGAATATATTGATTTATGGGGTGTACGATAGACTTACCTCCACGTGGTGCACCCTGGGCAACGTATACTCAGAGAGCGAAAAAAGTCTATTAACCGGCAGTTGACTTCTGACTTCAAACTACCATCACCCCACTGTATGTCATATTCGACCACTTTACGGTACTCACCTCACCTTTCATTTACCTTTGTGTCTGCCTCTTTTACACCTTTGAAACACTCTTCTGTTCCCCCCCCCCCTTCTCGACTTTTTTCACTTTGATATTCCTTCCTCTCTGTGAAGCCTGAAGTCAGCTAAAGGGCTAATGATAACTATCATAAAGCCTGCCATTTGATATAAATACATAAATCACTGGACACTCTTGTAATAATACGCCTTCAAACAGCTAAAGTAGTTCCTTCATAATTTATATCGGGAATCCATTTCCTTCTGTTCAAATCTTGCTACATGAGGCAATTTGATGCCTACATTTTCAAATGAGAATTTAAATTTGTAATTAACCCCATTTATACCTTAATCATTTACTTCCTTCTTACGTGATACTATTCCTGGTTATACTGACGGACTGTCACTTATCACTAATTTGATTGAAGGTGGTGAGAGGATTAATTTGTGTACTTTCTGAAGATCGAACTGGCAGAAATATGACAAATTATTTTCTAATCTTTTATTATACGCTAACATTTTATTTCACTGAGAGCTTTAATTATAACTGACAATATTTATCAGATCGGTTATGTTTTAATTATTTTTTCTAAGTTAAATTAGCCTTAAACTTAAAATTAATTTTATTTAAAGGCAAATGCGAAATTTGGAAGCTTCTAAACTTTACCCTATCGATGTTTTTTACTTTTATATAATTAACAAACACTTATGATAAGTTCTCAGTTAATTTACATGAACTTGACTGTTGTCTGTTTGTAATTAAGCCATGGAGCTTACAAATAATTTAAAGCCTACTGATAATTCATTAGTTTAAATCAAGATTTTAAAAACCTACTGAAGTAATAGACACAAAAAGGAGATTCAATCTTATTGTTTTAACATTACTTTGTTATTTTTAATATTAATAAAGCTTCAAAATTCAATAATCATTTGTCCTTGTACTGCTTTAATCATCAGATAAATGACAATCTTTGAATGTAAATTGATTGAAAATGTTGAATAGTATTAAGACTTTCGCCTAATGTAGGTATAAATTGAATCGTTCATATTGTTTGATTTATTACATCCTCAATGCATTTGATTATGCTATTTCAACTATCGAAGCGTTAGTAAATTTCGGTTTTAGAAGTGATTCTTAGAGCAAAAGATATTCGCAATTAGCTTTGGTTAATATTGTTTTCATAAATATACAAAAGCAGCTTTCATTCGATATGCACCGATTTTTCCAGTTGCTTTCCATTCCTCCAGAGATATCTGTCCGTTTTTTGTCTTAAAGAATGATAAAGAAGGGCAGAAACGCAATTAATAATTTAATGTGCCTTGAGAAAGACAGAAATTGGAGGCTGGGGAATACAGAAGGCGGTTTTAGTCAGACCTATAATTACAAGGACATTTGTTACATAAATGAGAAGTTATTATTAAATTTGTTTTAAATTTAAAGTTACAAAGTCTGTAACACAAAGAAAAATTAAAATCATTAAGTTCAGTTCACATGTTCTAAAAGTTTTTTCTTTCGTTCTGTCAGTAAATTTTTCATCCAAATCAAAATTTAGCTCAATCGATAGTGATTCAAAAAGGCCAATTATTGAATCTACACTTCTAGTTTTGAATTAATTTCATTAAACTCATATCAATACTTCAAATCTGCAAAGGATTCAACATCATTTCATGTTATAATAAGGAATAGGAAATCACGTATTTCACAAACACATCTGTTCATTCCGTGAAGAAAACAGCACTAAGGTTTGCTATTTAGTAGAGAGAGAGAGAGATTGTTTAGCATTACTTATTGGCAATAAATTATATTTTATTTTTAAGGTCAAAATGTCCTAACCAAAGCAGACAGAGAGAGCGTCAGATATTGCGTGCTGATTTTCTTTCACCTGGGCTTGAACGCCACTAGAAAAACCATTGCTAAAATTTATGGTCAAAAAAGTCTCCAAACCGGCATTTGACTTCTGACTTCAAATTGCCATGACCCCACTGTATGTCTTATTCAGTCACTTCCACCATACTTATCCTACCTTTTCTCTGCCTTTGTGTCTGTCTGTCTGTCTCTTTTACATCTGTGAATCAATCTTGTATTCCCCCTCCCGATTTCTTCTCACTTTGATGTTTCTCCTCCCCTCTGTGAAGCTTGAAGTCAGCTAAAAAGCTAATGATAACTATCAAAACGCCTACCATTTGTTATAAATAAATATGTTTGCTGTCTTTTTCTAGTGCAATTCGAATGCAAACTCTTTGAGGAATGACAATATTACGATAAAATGTGGGCAAATGCTAACTTTCGTTCTTTGGGTTATCACTCGCTGACCACCTTAGCAGTATTAGAGTTATCAGAGTACCAATAAATGGAAGAGAACACGAGAATTATTTGCAAGAATGTATTGAATGTGAAAAGCGGACACACGACAATGCCTGAATTAAGGAGGAATAGCACGCAGGCTCAGCAATGTACCAATGGTACTCCATTCATGCTGGAATTCATGTACTAGATGATGCAATTTAACTAAGAAATTCAATGACTCATGAAACTCAATGAGGGGAATGAATTACCTTATTGACTAAAATGCGGCACAACGGGGGAAAATGTCGTTTCTATAAATAATAAGGCCATAAGGGGGCAAATGGGGCTACCAAACAATAAATCACAGTAGATTATGATGGATTCAAAACTTTCTGAAAGCAGAGTTTCGTACCATGGTAATAACAATACGCCACTTAACCAAGTTACTTACTTCAGTGACTTAATTGATTTATGTTTTTTAAATGCAATTCATATAAATGGAATCAATAATTTCAGATATCCCCCTCCCACCTCCCGTTTTTTAGTACATCACTTCATTTTCAAAAGCGCGAAATTGAAGGTGTGTTGATAAAGTCAAAAGAATCCGCATCTTTGCTTTATTTTAATCATGAAAGTATAAGTAAGGCATAAACAAAAAGAAGTATAAAACGCCTGCACCAAGTTTCGAAATCAGTAGTGAGTTATAAAAGTTAGTAAGATAAGTCGAAAGTTCGCTCGATTTTCACACCATAGGAGGGCAAAGGTGAGGCACTGTTGATGGTGCTTGTTCGACGACTGCGGGGTTTTGGAGGTACTGGAGGCAGAGTGCCGGGTACACTTCGAAGCCGTTTGTGTTCGACGATGACTCGAATATCACCAAAAGCGTGTTTAATGGCTTGCAACAAGTTTCGTGCCGATTGAATGAGGGATTCCGCATTATCCAGCTGAAAATGAGAAAATAAGAATCATTGAAAATTGCTAAAAAGATAATATCAAGTTTTGGCCTGTATAGAATATACACGACATGAAATTTCAACTCCACGCTAATACAAGTTACCTAAATGATTATGGCATGTATAAGCGTAATTGCACTTTATTCTCCAACTAAAATAACGAGTAACCAGACAATTTAAAAGAGGAGACTTTAATGTGAATCAAACGAGTTCTAATGAATGAAAATTGGCATCCTTGATCCAAAAAGCGTATTTTCATAGAAAAAGATTTGCTGTAGCATATTATTAAGAGTCATACCTCGGCAAAACTACTTACAATTTTAATCATGGAAGATTACTTAAACAACAAATTTCTCAAGAACTCCATAAACTTCTAGCATGATATAAAGCCACACTTTAAGTATAAATTTTATTCACCGCGATATAGTACTAATGTTCCCGCTAACGATTTTCAAGATTTATCCTTGGCTTAATTTATGTCCATAATGTTCATAGTTTATTGATCAGTAAATCGGATTTATTTTTCGAATAGATTATCCAGGAGAAATGTCTTTTCTCACAAGAGGAATGTCATAACGGAGATGACTAGATTAATCCTATGTTAATATTAACTCTTATCAACATCGTGCATGCAAATAATACAAATATAGTATTGTTTCGGTTCCTGGAAGCTTACGAGCGTGAAAATGTTGCCGATCAGTTTTAACCTAAACTCTAAAATGAACCGGTTCTATACTTTAAATTGGGCATAAACAAACGGTAACTGAATAAATTCCGATCTTCATGGTCTTTTATTCTCGAAATTCGGTCGTCATAGTAACCAAGTTTGTATAAACTATATTGTTCCCCATTTTAGTTGTGACAATATTTAATGTGAACTTACACCAATTTCACTATTCGTGTCCTTCATATCCGCATTCACTCGACTCATCACAGCCAATTCATGGGAGAACAGGTTGATATTCTTCAAGGAGGCAAATAAATTTTGTTTTATCTTAAGATCAGAAAAATTGCGAGCTATATTTTCGCAATAGCCATTTAGCTGCGCAGCCATAAGAGAAATTTCGCGAGTAGTCTAAAAACAAAACTGCATTGTATAAGCTACTTATATATTTTAAGTAATCGCCTTTTAATTCACTAAATACTTGAACGAGGCCGTCTTCTGTCGAAATTGTGCTTTTCTTGGGTTGAATTATATGATTCACCGCTTCAGTCAAACGGAAAGAAATCGTTCGAGCAAGCGACATCAGGTCATCATAGTCGACACCTCCTAATTCCTTGACATGGCGCATGAGGCTGGCACGTTCATTGTTAAACTTGGTGATAAGAGATTTCAGACTGGAATCGAACCTCTTTGGTAGTCGAGTTTGAATAGATTGAGATGATCGGGAATTGGTACTACCCTCATCTACATACCAAAGAGTGTATGCAATTTTTTAATCATTAAAAGGAAAGTGAAATTACAGTAGATTAGAAGCAATAAGGAATTAAATCAACAAGTGTCAAAAATTATCGCTAGTTTGCATCTTAATCACAAAATAATGCGCCTACCAACTTTTCATGTTTATCCTCAATTTAGATAACATTGAAGGTTAACGAATTTATTTCCTCCTGTATATGAGGTATATCTGTGATTATCACGAAATCCACAAACACAATGGGGAAATATATATCTACTTGTATCATTTACCCCCAAATCTTACTTTGAAATTATCACGACTCAATTTTATGAACATTCAAAATCCTTAAGCTTAAGAAGGAGCCACTTTCTGTTCCTTGCTTTCCCTTGTTACTGTCATCTTCCCTGTAATTGTCAAAGATGCTTGCCTAAACACTAACTGATAGGAATATGACATTAGCCGTATGAAGGTAATCTTCTCCAGGCACATATCCGGAAATCGTTCTATTGAGTTGAACAAAGCTGAACTTTGTTCATTGCGTTTCAGCCAAGTGTTTGTTTATAAATAGAATTCGAATGTTTCTGAAAATAAATTTTAATTTGTGATCCACTAAATTAATAGATTTAATAGGTACTGAATATCACAAGGTGCATATCAGATTGGTCTAAAAATTCCTAATGACTGCAGGTAAGTGAAGACGAATGTACCGTTGGAGCAGTTGGCAACGCCAGTGATTACACAAGGAACGCTTTTGGGTGGCCAGCTAAACTAGCTACTTATCGAGAGAGGCGGTAAACTGGAAGTGATTCATAAGAGTGTCTAATTGGTCAAGTGTTACAAGCATTTCTCATCATTTTAGCTAGAGAGTTTAGTATAATGTAGAAGATTATTGAAACGATTCTCTCAAAAGGTAGGGTTTTTATTGGACTGGCAACTAAGTCATTGCCGTTTTTGTTGACAGATTCACTCTATACTTTCTTTTGTTTTGTTAACGTGGCCAGAGCATCTAACCTATATTTTTTCTTACTGTATGGGCTTCTAGGTTAATTAGTAAAAAGTTGTTTTTGTTTAGTTCTTTAGTTTTGTTTTTATCCCAATTTAAAAATGAAAGAACAGGACGTGCACTTCCGACACATTTTATTGTATTACTTCCGAAAAGGCAAGAACGCATCGCAAGCACAAAAGAAGTTATGTGCCGTATATGGAGATGAAGCCTTAAAAGAAAGGCAGTGTCGAAATTGG